CCAGCATGCTCAAGACTAAATGTTGATATTTGTGTACCACCTGCTCCAAAATTTATATGTTGAAACCAAGTCCCTAGTGTGATTATATTTTGAGAAACTTTTGGGGTGATTAGGTGATGAAAGTGGCACTCTCACAGATGGAATTAATCCCTTATGAAAGAGACACCAAAAAGCCCCACCTTCCTTCCATACCATGGGGACACATAGAGAAGACAGTCATTTACAAGCCAGCAAACATGGTCCCACCAGTATATGAACTTGGATTTCCCAGCCTCCAAAAATGTGGGAATTAAATATTTGTTGTTGCTGAAGCCACCCACCCTATCACTGGTATTTTTGCTTCTGCAGCCCAAGTTAACTAAGATATGGGGGAATCTCTCCTTCACCCCCTTTCCATTTTTCACATTCTTTCCGAGAAGCTATTTTAGTTGTAATTTGCCTGCTGGTTATTCATATATCTAGAATGAAACTCAGTTCTCATCCTTGAGCCCAACCCCCCTATTCAAGTATATCTTAGACACCTGAATCTTAGCATATGCCAACCTGAGTTCATTATCTCTCATGTACCAATATGTCCTATCATGGATTTGATCACCCAAGTCAGCAACCAGACCCTAGACTTCACCCTCAACTCCTCTCTAGTAGCCCCAAACCAGGTATCGAGTTTGTCGGTTCTGACTTCTTCACTTCATCCCCCCACCCCTGCCCTGCTAAGACCTTCACTATTACTTGACTGGAGCCTCCTTATAGTCTCTGTTTCCTTCCTTCTCACCTCTTTCTCATCTTCATTAGTTTCCTTTGTAATCTGTGAAATGAAGAGTATCACTCATCTGTTCAAAATCCTCTCATTTTATCTATATTTTCTTCTATATATTTGATGACTTCAGGTCTTATGCCCAAATCTTTTATTCATTTTGAGGAGATTCTTCAGACTACTAAAAATGGAGCTACCATACAACCCAGCAATTCACTCCTAAGGATCTAACCAAAGGACACAAAAACATTAATTAAAAAAAAATACATTTCCCCATCTCACAAAGAGGGAAAAAGGGGAGGGAGAAGAATTAAGAAGAGAGCTAGAAATTGTAACAGGGAAAAGGAAGGTTCCAGATTTCCTGTGTCACCCAAGGAAGGGTGAAGCTGGGCAGAGAGGAAAAACTAGAAAAGACTGAGAAGAACTAAGAGATGAGAGAACACCTGGCTGAGAAGGAACAGAGAAAGGGAGAGATCAAGGAGATAAGGAGGGGAACAGTCAGCAGAGATGTGAAGAAGCTGTGCTTGCTTCTGGGCTCAGACTTGCACTACAAAGCCAGGGGGGCCTGAACTGAGACACTTCAAAGAAACAGAGATGTGGGTGAGAGACCCCATTGTGAGGCTGACAGTGGCAGCCTTTATCTTGACTTTAGGTTTTGATTTTTCTCTTTTCCTTCCACGTTTGCCTGGCCCCTTCTGCCCCCTTCCCCTGGGTCCCCTCAGAAGGTGCCTTATCCTTGTGGCAGGCTTTCAGGCCTGAGTGACCCCACTTTGAGCTGACCCTGTTTGATTGGGCATTTACCCATGAGGGGATGGGTAACTATGGGTGCTTCATGTGTAAACATTTAACTGTTTCTCTGTATGGTATACTAATACTCTCTATTGTATGCTAGTTGTATTCAAGTTCCTTTAAAAAAAAATACATGCATCCCTATGTTTATTTTAGCACTACTTAAAATAGGTAAATCCTGGAAACAACCCAAATACCCAAAACTAGATGATTGGATCAAGTAAATGGGGTATATATATAGATACAGACACAGACACAGACACACACACACAACGGAATACTATTCAGCAATCAAAAAAGATAAATGCATGCCATTCACAGCAACATGGATGGAGCTGGAAGGGATTATGCTCAATGAAATAAAAAAGAAGGAAAAAGATAAATATCAAATGGTTTCACTTATAGGAGGAATTTAAGAGGACCAAGTAAGACAGGGGGAATGTGTTTGCTGTTATTGCAATACAAAACACAACAAAACAATACAAAAACATACAATTATAGAGCCCTCCCTGGTGGCACAGCGGGTTAAAGCACAGCATTAAGAAGCTAAAGCCACTTCAGTATGAGTTCAATCCCTGCCACAGAGGTGGGTGACCCATATGGCATAGCAGTCCTCTCCTGACCCGCCCACTGCTCCCCTCAGCAGTGTACTTCATCAGTAGGCCTGTTCTGCTCCCCACGCTGGTGAATCCTCTCACTGTCCCTGCACCTCTGACCTGTACCCCAGTTCTGTATACATAAATAAATAAATCTAAAAAAAAAAAAACCCCAGACAATTATAAACCAGAGAGACGCTACGGGGAGGAAACAAACAGGGATCAGAAGGAGGGAGGAATGTGGGGGGGCTATGGTGATGATGGAATGGGGAGCGGGGAGTAAACATTGTTATAAAATGAATAATAATGTAAATAGATTAAAAAAATACCTCTCTCATTATCTCTCATTGAAAGACTACAAGGTAAAATCCAAACTGCTCATCAGTTCCACTAAAACTGCAGCAATCGGGACCTGAGTTCCTTTCCAGTCCTGAGTTTATTTCAGCCACATGAAAATATCCCCATTTTCCCGAACCCATCAGGTTCTCTGGCTTCTCGATATCACTGAGTTAATTTCTTCCTACGCGCAGCCCCCCCCATCTTCAGAGGAGCCATGTACACTTGCTTGCCTCCCTGCGGCTGCTCTGACCAGTTTGTGTTAGGTGGCTGCCATGTCCCATTTGACAAGCACATTTACAAGCAAAACAGTCACTGTAGTAACACTGCATCATAGGCTTCTGGTGTGCAGGCTTGACACCAACTTGTGCATTAACTTCACCACTAAAAGCCCAATTCTAGTTAATGACACACAATTCACCCCTTTAACCTAACCTATGCACCACCCTCCCCCTCTCATCCTGGCCATCAATCATAGGTGTTATAGTCTAAATATGCATTTTTTGTTTTATTTAGTTCATACATTTGTTTGGCTTCTTTCTGTACCACATAAGAGTAAATCATATGTTGTTTGTCTTTTCTGACTTATTTCACTAAGCAAAATACCCCCTAGGCCTGTATACCACCTCTCCAATTATTCATTGATAGGCTTTGAGGTTTCTTACTCTTGGTTACTGTAAATAATGTTTCCACAAACATTGGGGCGCATAGATCTCTTTGAATTAATGTTTTTATTCTTTGGGTAATACCCAGAAGTGGGATAACTGAACATAAGGAATTTCTATTTTTAATTTTTTAAGGAATCTCCATATTGCTTCCCATAATACACCAGATTTCCTTCCCATTGTCCTCACCAACACTCATATACCAGCAGCTTAACAATTTGCTTATTTCCTCTATTAGGCCATGGATGGCTTAAGAGCCAGCAGGAGTGTGCCTTTCATTCTGTGCTCTCAGATAGAGCTAAAGAAACAGCCAGTAGATCTAGGGAGGGAGTTCAAGGTGCAGGAGGGAAGGAAAACTGGTTTTGATCTCTACTAAAATGGGCTCTGTCATAAGTCAAGGTTACCAGTAACCATACAACTACAAAGTGGCAGTAGATACATGTTTACTTCTCTGAATAGTTTTGGAGTTCTTTCCCTTATTATTATTATTATTATTATTATTATTATTATTATTATTATTATTATTATTATTGATATATCACTTTCTCTTAGACTCCTCTGGGTATATCCAACAGATTATATTTCCTTCTCAGGATCCCTTTCTTCTGCTCACCTCTTGCGTGTTAGGCCAGCCCTCAGGAACAGAAGTTCCCTGCTGCAGCCAGCTCAGCTACCTCAGCATTATTTTGTTTCTCAGGGGAACTGCTAGAGGCTACCAGCATCGCTCTGAATGCTGGTCCTACAGTTTGGATGTAGGCTTTGGTATTTTCCACTGGTTAATACAGTGCTTCAACGGTGCTGTAAGAAATTCTGAACATCTGAAGGCATTGCCCTGAACAATATGCTGAAACACTTGGCCTCAGGAAGTTGCCTCAAAGGAGAGGCTTGAGCAAAGCACACCCAGTTTGCTTCACTTCTAATTCCACCTCTTTCTCAACTATGTGCTCCTAACTTCCTTTAACTGAAGCATGACAATACACCCTGAGATCAACTGTAAAATACCCTCCTCATCACACGGCTTCAATGTGATCAAGCATAGGGGGTCACATAGGCACTCCCACACATTGTGCTGGCTCAGTTGATAAAGGATGGCAACTACTCTCACCCCAGGGAGCCACAGATTGAAGAGAACAGTGGCTTTGTCGGGCATCTCGATGGGGAGAATCAGAAATGTCCCCAGTTACAAGTGTGCTGTTTCAAGGACTTTGGCTGGACTTCTGGGCCCCAACGTGTGCTGTGAACAAATAACTCAAGTAGATTCATTGGAAACGAAATTTCTTAGGCCACAAGTGTGGGGTATCCACTCTTTTGGGCCAATGATCTTACTTTTCTACACATGTCATTGGGTAGTTAATGGTGATTTCAGAGCGTGAATTTATGAGAAATGAAACAGAGCCTGTGGAGGAGTTGTGGAGGTGAGAAGCCCAGCTCTCGGGCTATGAAGGCCTGACACCCTAGGTTTTCATTTGAATGAGATCTAAAACACATGATCTCACATGACTCAGAGCTGGTTGAGAACAGAAATACCCAGAGTGTGTGTGTGTGTGTGTGTGTGTGTGTGTGTGTGTGGTGGGGGTTACCTGCTGGTCTCAGCGCTGGATCAGTCAAGGTGACTCCTACCAGGGAGTCCACAGCAGATATCTTCGGTAAGGACCCCTTCATCTTCTGAGCACAGATCCCTCTGAGGATCCCATAGAAGCTGCAGATTCTCTCTTCAGAAGTATAACACCACCATCAAGATGGTCTACTTCCGTATGTTTAAAAAAAACAAAAAAAACTCCACCTACCCAACTTCCTTTTTCTGATTGCTTGTCACTTTTTTCTGGGCTGTGCCATTCACTGAAGATGTCTTCAAGTGAATGGTTCTAAGTCTCTTTCCAGTGTAGCGCTGAAGTTTAGAACGATCTGGAAGGTCTGGAAAGCAGCATGTATAGGCGACGATGGGAGAGATGTCTGTTCCTGCTTCTGTTCCTGCGAGAGCCTGGCACTCAAGGTACTTTCCACATACTGTCTGCCTGAGATTGTTACCAGAAGTGGGGTCCCTGGAAAGGAATGTGGGGTGTGGCTCAATTCTGGAAGAGCAGTGTGGACGCCAGGCAGCAGGGGATCTTCCTTAGCTTTAGAGAATCAGGACCTTATCTTTTTCTAAGGCGATAGAAAACGATGCTGGGGCAGTAAAAAAACAGGGCTCTAGTGATCACTTCCTCTGGCTTGTGATCTGAAATTTGCTTCGTTTGCAGAAGCTGCTCAGGGCTGCTGCGTCCTGATGCCATCTTGGCCTCCATCTAGGTTAGGAGTTGTGTCTGGATGCTGCTGTCATATACCAAAGCCAGATTACACATTAAAAAAACTCAGAAATGGAGTTGTTTTCCTCTGTCTGTTATTGCTGCCCAGCTGCCATCATTTATCTTCCTAGGCAGCCAGGGGTAGGAATTAAATCACCAGTTTTCACTATTCTACCCTCTATCTCCATAGGCCTTCTGGTCTTTAATACTCACCACAAGGAAAGAAAATGAGCAAATATGGGAAACAAATGTGGCAACATAAGATGATGGAAGCGTGTCTCTTTTAGGGTGATCAGAAAGAAGTTTGCTGACCACTCACCATGGCCTCTACTTTGGATCTGGGTTGTGACTACATCAATGTAGAGACCAGTGTCTTCAGGACCCCCTAGGGCTGTTTCACCTCCTACAACACTCGTGGCCTTGGGATGGGGTGATATGAGGCAATCAGCCACTTGTTGAGAAAGTTAGCACTGCCAGAAAAAATAGAGTCTTCCAGGACTTTCGCTAGGCACAGGGTCTACGTGCCTAAACATCTGTGTAGACCCAATGCTACAGATGGTCATCTGAGCCCCAAGTTACCGCTTCCCCATCTAATCACATTCTGTGTAATTTTAACTGCTGTTTTTCTGGAAGGAGGTGCTTTTTGTCTTACCCGTAGCTCTTTGTACAAATCTTTCCTTCTGCCTGTAATTCTGCACCTTTTCTATCCCTGCTTTCCTTTCATGTGACTTCCTCCTGAAAGTCCTCCTGTCCTGCTCCAGATTCTGGTTGGTGAATTTTTTGATGATCATTTTCCTCGAGCTCTGGGAAACAGGGACAATGTCCAGCACTGAACTTAGCACAGTGCCTAAAGCATGGACTCAATAAATAGCTGTTAAACAAGTGAATGACCTCAAGGACCTCTTTCTGGGTTATACATCCAGGTCTTGGGCGTACAGTAGTTCTTTCCTGTGTGAAAAGGTGAGTGTGAGTGTCACAATTGGCGACTTCCTCTGTGTTTCCACTGTTTCAAAGAGGGATGGTGAGATTCTGAGCTTGTGATTGTGGTTGGGGGGTGCACACTCTTGCTGGTGGCAGTGGTCCTCTGTTGCCTGGTTTCATAGGGGGTGGGGGGAGAGAGAGCTGCTGTTCCTGTTGGTAATGGCCTCACCCCAGCCTGGTTTCCAATGTGGATAAGGTATTTGCACTAGTAGTGATGGCTCTGCTGTTGCCCAGCTTCTAGTTATGTCTGGGTGCTGTATGCTGGCCATCATGCCCCTCTGGGCTGCTGCCATACTGGGAAGCACAAGCTTGAGGCAGCCTTGTTTCTGCCCAGAGTCTTCTTTAAAGGTATATTTATTTGTACTTACAGGCCAGAGGTGCAGGGGGCAGTAAGAGGATTCACCAGAGACAGAGTGGGGAGCAGAACAGGCCGACTGACAAGTGCACTGCTGAGGGGAGCAGCGGGCAGGTCAGGAGAGGTCTGCCGCATCGTGTGGGTCACCTCCGGGGATCGAACTCATGCGGAAGTGGCTTAAGCTTCTCCGTGCTGTGCTTTAACCCGCTGCACCACCAAGGAAGGCCACTGCCCAGAGTGGTTATTTCAGGGCACATCTGCCTGTTCTAGTGAGCTGCAGCTACATTTTGCTGCACTTCCTGCTAATAGCTGGGTGCTGCGCACTGGCTGCTGAGCGAGCGCTTTGCTCCACAGTCCTGGGAAGTGAAAGCTCAGAGCACCTCCTTTACGGGTGAAGACCCGCCTACTTCAGGGGCTGCGGCCACACCCTGTTCACTTCCTGCTAATGGCAGTGCTGTGTGCTGACTGCCCCACACTTCCTGGATCCCACTATTAGGGAACAGCCGCTCAAGATGGGAGCACTGAGCCCTTCTTATGACTGTGTTGGGGTCCAGGTGCTCCCGCAGGCTGCGGCCAGGCCCCTGCCCTGCCCTCAGTGGTGGCCGGGAGACTGAGTTTTCTCTTTCCTGCAGGTCTCACCCCGTGGATTTGTCCTAGTCCAGCTCCCCTCCATGCGAATTAGCCTGCTGACTTTTGTTTCACCTTCGGGGGTGTTAGATGTTTCAGCTTTTCTTAGTTGCTTTCAGGATTTTTCTTCTCCTTTTCTTTCCCTGGTGGAGGTGTTCTGGGTTTGTACGTGGAGGAGGGGGAAGGGGGCCTGGTCAATATCCCCCACTCCTTTCTTCCTCTGTTGCTGTCACCTTCCTCCTGCTTCCTTTGGGTTTTGGGTTCAAAACCCTGAGTCCTGGCTGGAGTTTGCTGAAACTAATCCCTTATATCTAAGAGTGAACTTAATTCCAGCGACTCCTCATCACCATGTGGTGATGATCATATGGGTTTTCTTTTTCTTTTGTTGATGTGATGGATTCCATTAATTGATTTTTGGATGTTGAACCACCCTTGTGTCCCTGGAATAAAACCCATTTGGTCGTGGTGTACTATTCTTATGATGCATTATTGCATTCTCTTGGCTAAGATTTTATTGAGGATTTCTGCATCTGTTCTTTAGGGAGATTGGTCTGAAGTTTTCTTTTTTGTGTTGTCTTTGTTAGGTTTTGGTATTAGTGCAATTTGGTTTCATAGAAGGTATTTGGTAGTTTTCCTTCTTTCTCAATTTTTGGAAAGAGTTTATGAAGAATAGGCAGTAGATTGTTGCTGAACGTTTGGTAGAATTCATTTGCAAATCCACCTGGTCCTGGGCTTTTGTTCTTGGGGAGGGTTTTAATTACTGCTCCAGATTTACTGCTTGCTATTGGCCTGTTTAGTTATTCTATTTTTTTCTTTTTTTTTTTTTTTAAAGATTTATTTATTTATTCATACAGAACTGGGGTATAAGCCAGAGATGCGGAGGGTGAGAGGATTCACCAGAGACAGAGCGGGGAGCAGAACAGGCAGATCGACAAAGTACACTGCTGAGGGGCGCAGCGGGCAGGTCAGGAGAGGTCTGCTAGCCATATGGATCTCCTCCGGGCAGGCGGGGCTCGAACTCATGCGGAAGTGGCTTAAGCTTCTTAGTGCTGTGCTTTAACCCGCTGTGCCACCTGGGAAGGCCAGTCCAAACTAATCTTAAGGAGTAAGAGGGAGAATAAATATGTACAACACAAATATAAAATTTACAATAAAAGTGTAAAAAATCACTTTTGATTGGTTGGAGGTCATTAAAAAGAATAAATAGACACAGCCCCTTTTCTTATAAAGCAGAATCTGTTCTCAAAAGAAGAAATTATGCAAGTTATAACTGGATCTGAATCATAACTTGAGTTGCCATTCTCTGTATCCTTTTTTCTTTGGACCCATTTTTATTGTTCTTCTCTCAAGTGATGGTGATTGGTGCTTGGGTTGTTCTTCCCCTCACATGTACTATGCAAGAGACTTGCGTTTGTTATCTCTTGTACTTACTGTTGTCTCATACTTTTCAGTCATTAGGCTATGAGTGAAAACTTCTTCAGGAGCTGTTATCATTATTTGGATTTAATTCCTCTTCTACCAATTTCTTTATTCTTTCAGATTCACAAAAAGGGGTTCATTTCTAAAATATATGTCATTAATCCAATCTTTATGTTGTTTCTTTATTGGTAGAATAAAATCAGTTCATTTATTACGCTTATCAATAATTAAGTCACAGTAACAACTGCTATAGATGCAAACTATAATGTAGGTGATAATAATAAAATAACAATACATGACATTTTTTGAATGCTTGCTAATATCCCAAGTATTATTCTAAGTACTATATTTATATTAACTAAATTGTATTCTAAACATTTTAAGAAGCTCTGACTTCCACCACCCACTGTTGAAGCCAGAGAGAACACAGCCTTGGGCGCAAAGACATAACTTGTCTTCATTTTATTTGAAAATCTGCTGTGTGAGAGTAAGGGATAGAGCCAGGACCAGACATTTTCATTATCATCTGAGGCAAAGCTAGATGGATTTTTAATTTTACCCCCTACCTCTATGTTTACATCTAAAGCTTCAATTTTTATTGCGGTCTTCACCAGGGACATTTCCTCTGATGCAACCCATACTCATTGCTCAAACCAGAAACTTCTCCCTCCTCCTTTGACCACACCTCCCAAAGCCCAAGATGCACAGCTCTGCTTCTCCTATACGTGCTCACTCTGACTCTCCCCAGCAGGTCAACCAGAGGCTCAGAAAGCCCTCTCTGGCTACAAGGTGACTTTGTTCTTCCCAGAGTTGCCTGACTACAAGGATTTCACTTTGCTTTTCGGAAAGAAGAGTATAGCGACATATACTGCTGGAAATTTTAAAGATTTCGAAAATGAATTTAAGGGCAGAGTCCATTTTGTTAAGAATGGTGTGCTGACCATCTATAATGTCCAGAAAAATGACAGCGGCATCTACACCCTTAAGAGGTGGAACTATGAAGGAAAGGAAGAGGAAGCTATGATTCAACTGCAGGTATTTGGTGAGTTAGGGAAACTGAAGGGCAAGTCCTCTTTCAGATATCTAGGGTATCCCCCTGGGGGCTTCCTGGGAATCATAGGGATGCTCTGGGAGAGGAGAAAAAGAAGCCTCAAGACAGGCTTAATCATTCCACTTGAGGTAGAGCTTGGGTTAGTGAAAGGCAAAGCCAATGACTTTGCTGTGTTGAGGACCCACGCATGTCTCACTCAGAGCTGCTGTTCCGTTCCTTCTGTCTCATAGCTGCTCCATCCACCCACCCATCCATCTACTGTCCATCTTTTTTTTTTTTTAAGATTTATTTATTTATTCATACAGAGCTGGGATACAGGCCAGAGATCTGGAGGGTGAAAGGATTCACCAGGGACAGAGTGGGGGAGCAGAACAGGCAGATCAACAAAGTACACTGCTGAGGGGAGCAGTGGGCGGGTCAGGAGAGGTCTGCCGCGCCATGTGGTCACCTCCGGGGCAGGCGGGGATCGAACTCATGCGGAAGTGGCTTAAGCTTCTCAGTGCTATGCTTTAACCCGCTGCGCCACCAGGGAGGGCCCTGCTGTCCATCTTTATAGATACTATCGAGCACCTTCTATGTGGCAGGTATTAAAGGGGGGAGACCATAGTCAACAAACACAGTGCTGTCCAGTGTATGAGCTAGTGTCACAAGAAATTCGTCTCCAGCTCTGCCACAGCCCAGGAAAGGGCTTTGCCATACAGAGTTCAGTCCCTCTGATCCCAGGACTCCTGTTGACTCTGAGTGGGGGAGCTCTTGAAGGAGGATCAGGCCGAGGAGCCAATAGTAAGCCATCACTAGAGAAAGGTTCCATGGCCATTTAGGCAGGATGCCAAGTCCTGATCCCAGTCATCTCTGCCACAGAAGGGCATATAACTCTTTTGTTTGTTTGGGTGGGTGGTGCTCCCCCTGGGCCCACCTTAGCTTCACTGCAGGAGTCAGCTCTAGTGCTTGGAGATGCTGTGGACAAAGCAGCCCCCTGACTCCCTGTAGTGCTCTTCTGGATGATGGTGCTTTCCACCACACTCAAGGACTTCTCCTGGCTCTCTTTGCACTTTGTTGGCAAAGCCTTTGAGGCTATAAGCTTAATAATATAATACATTGATTGTTTTATCTCATAGCATCTTTCTTTTTTTAGATCCTGTACCCCAGCCGACTCTAACACAAGACCTAAAAAAGGGCAACAACAGTTGTATTCTAACGCTGTCATGCTACGTCTCTGACACATTTGTGTGTTACACCTGGTTTCGGGAGGGAAAGCACCTTCCTGAGTTCCAGGATAGTGTGATTGAGGTCATCATCGACCACCAGAACTACTCCAGCTCTTACACCTGCATGGTCAGCAATCCTTTGGACAGCAAGAATGTCACAGTCTTTTGGACAGCAAGTATGTTAGAGCTCCTCTCATGTACACAGGGTAAGAAGTGTCCCCAAGGGTGGCCTGGGTGATTTGTTTTCCTTTTGAATGAAAAGGGGCAAAGACTTCAGCTGGCTTCCAAGCAAGGAATTTGGTGATGAAACTCCAAGGGCACTTGGGGCTCCACTCAGGCTCTGTCGCCATCCTTCACAAGTCCCTTGCCTTGTGGATCTCAGGGTCCTCACCGTAAGGGTGGCGGGTGAGGTGGCCACTGGTTCCTTGTCCTATCCCCTTTCACAATGCCTGATCCTGACAGCAGAGGCCAGGGCAGCCATGAACAGACCGAGATTTGAGGAGAGCAGCGTGCATCATCCAGCACATGTTGTGTGGGAGGACAGCTGCTGAGCAGGGCTTGGGGGATTGTGCAAGGCAACCTGACCAGCAGTGGCCGGAGGGAGACCCTCACCCTAAGTCATACCCTCCACTTCCCTAGGGTCATGCTCCTGAAGGCTCGAAAGGCATATTCTGGGCTTCTCTTTCAGTTCTTCCTCTGGGGGACCCTCTCCAGAACCTCACTCCTGCTCTTTTGACACCAGTCTGATGGTGGAGGAGGTAGGGTGTGAGGTTGGGAGTTGGCGACTAACCTGGATTGAAATGGACTAGAGAAGCATGTCCCTTTGCTTCTCCAAGTCACATCCTTCTCACTTTGTCAAAGAAATAGCCGTTCTTATCTCGTGTTGCTTTAAGGATTGCATAGGGCAGTATAGCCACCCTCTAGCACTGTGCCTGACGAGCCTCCAATGAATGTAGCTAAACTGCACCCAGACCCTTTAATCCTGGAAGCCCTAGGGGCTGGGCACCCCTTAACTGACTTGGAGACTCTCCCCAGCATTGCAGACTCTGTCTTCTCTATATCCCCAAATCGCACCCCAAGCCCTGGCCCACATATGCTTCCACAATAGCTGTGCCAACATGGGACATGTGCCAGGGACGTCACTCCTGTGGTCTTCTGGGACCCAGTCTGCTCCTTGCGCCTGCGCTCAGCTTCCTACCTCACCTCCACTGCTGACTCGAGAACCTGGGCCTTCTTCATTCTTCTCCACTAACTGGACCTGTCTCTTCTGGTCTCTCCAGACATGCTCGGCTTTTCTGCCATGCAGACCCCATGTGCCAGTGGGGTGTCTGGCTGCAACACCACAAGCTGGTCTGACCAACGCCACCTTCATGTCAGATTCAGAAAAAGGAGGCGATCCTGTCCTTTATAAAATGACTGCCCACCTGTAGAGATGGGAAAGGCATCTGGACATCCTTTTTCCAGAAGGGTTAAAACCCTCCTGTCATGTTTAAGCCACCCCAGTTATCTTGTGGCACCCTTAATTGCCCATCCCTATTTAATCACTCTACTTTTTCCTTTTTATTTTCTGTCCCCTCTCCTCTTCTCTCCTCCCCTTCCCTTCTCTTCACTCTTCCTTTTTAAAAATCCTCCTATTTTGGCCCTCCCTGGTGGTGCAGCGGATTAAAGCAGAGCACTGAGAATCTAAAGCTGCTTCCGCATGAGTTCGATTCCCGCCTGCCCCGGAGGTGACCACATGGTGTGGCAGACATCTCCTGACCCGCCCGCTGCTCCCCTCAGCAGTGTACTTTGTCGCTCTGCCTGTTCTGCTCCCCACTCTGTCTCTGGTGAAGCCTCTCACCGCCCCAGAGCCTCTGGCCTGTACCCCAGTTCTGTATGCATAAATAAATAAATCTTTTTTTAAAAAAATCCTCCTATTTCCCTCCTGGCTTTTCTCCTCTCTTCTCTGCCCATTTCCTCTCTTCTCCCCTCCCCTCCTCTCTCCGCCCCTTCCCTCTCCTTTCCTAACTCTCCTAACTTCCTCCCCTCCTTTCTTCTTATCCTCTTCACTTCCTATCTCTTTTCCCCCCTCTTTTCCCTCCTACATGGTTAATGCAGTGAAGAATAGGGAGGGATGAGGTTCTTCCTTCCCTAAAGTCAGCTGCACATAGCAGCTCTTTGGTCATCTGTGCACACCTGAAACCCTGCCCAGCTTCACTGCTGTCCCATGCAGAAGAGAGTCCCCCAGGTCTGCAGACACGCCCAGGTAACCTCAGGCCCAGGACCTGTGAAGTCAGTGGCATCTAAGGGGTTTCTGCATGCTTTGCACCTACTGTCTGGGAGAGGATGGTCAAGGCCCATGGGCAGGAAACCCACTCCCATGTTCAACCCTATGCCAGCCCTCACCCCTCAACTTACCATGTCCGTCAATCAGTTAATGTCCTGTTTTCTTGCTCTTTCAGCTCCGTCCTTTGCTGGAAGAGCTTGCATTGCCAATTGGCTGGTGGTTGTGCTGCCCATCGTCCTGGGCCTCCTTCTGACTTGAGATAAGCGTTTCCTACTTCCGTGTGGCTCTACACCCCAGCATCTTGCCTTTGCGTGTACATAGGGTCTATTTATTAAATTTTAGACAGAGTTGTTTTGCTTATGACCCTAAAGCCGAAAATGCAACTTTACCACGTGACAGAGTCCCTCGTGAGGCCCATTGCTGACAGAAGACCTGAGCTTCCTTCTGTGTGTCCCCTCTCAAGAACTCTCCTGGGGCCTCGAAAGGAGAGGGTGACTCCAGGTTCGCCCCCTGCAGGGAGCTGTCTCCTCAGAAACCATCTTCCTCCATATCCACCTGCTGGGTGGCAGACAGTGCCATGTTCCCCAAACCCTGGCATTTTCTTCCCTTCCTGCTGTGATGCTTGATTTTTTCTGTCAATATCACCAGGGCACAAGCACCAACTCTCCTCTGCCCCACCCCCATCTTCCAGACACTTCCAGACACTGTGGGACTCCATGCTGAAAATGTGGGGCCCATTTCTTCAAGGGGAAAGAAAAAACAACTGTCATTAGGGCCAGGTGCAGCCTGGGGTCGCATGGCTGGGCTGCAGCAGCGCCAGGTGCAGGCCAGGTGCAGGCGGCAGTGGTCTCCACGCTGCAGACTAGAGCGAGGGGCGCGGGAATGCCACAGGGTTTCATTTCCGGTGCAGGCGTGGCTGTTAGGCGCACAGGCAGGCCTCTTAGGCAGCGCACCTGTGCCCTGAGTGCTGTCACACACCTCTGGATTTTCGAGCTCAGGCTTTGATGAGCAGAGAGCTGGAGAAGCTACAGGAGCGCCTGGCCTGGTACACCTGGCATCACAACAGCAAAGCCAAAAGTCCAAGTAGATGCAGGAAGGAAAGGTGAAGCAGGGGCTGGAAGCTGAGCGCGGAGGGGGTGAAACTCACACACCTCATCCAGATGGTGGCAAAGAAGATGGAGTCGCTCTAGTTCTTCGGAAATAAAAGTCCCTGCCATTGACCACTGAGGCTTCAGACACGAATCTACTTCAGAAAAAGGGAATGAGAATTTGGATCTTTAAGTGAAATTTTGAATGAAGAAATTAAGGACAGTAGCAAGGCTAAGGTAGAAGTGACTTGCCTCGGGTCACCTGTTCCTTTATGTTTTAATCTTGTTGAGTGAAATAGGAAAAATGGTGCTAAACTGCAGATCAGAATGGCACAGGGGAGTTTTGGAGAGCGCAAAGTGCTGGTCCTTGCAGGAGGGATTTCCCTGGGCCAGAGCAAAGCCCTCCATGGCCCAGCTCCTTGTTAGCACAGAGTCCACGCTGGTGGATCCTCTAACCCTCTTGTGACCTGGTAGAGGGTGAGGACAGGTCTTGGTTTGTTGCCCATCTCATGTTGGCCACAAAGATCACCACACTGTATAAACTGTGAAACCAAGTCTCTTGGAGCATGAATTTAGAAGGTGGAAAAAGATTTCAGGGTCTTAGCTTGGCTTGGCTCGGCTTTATACAAACCAAGTCCTTGTGGATGACTCTCTGGCCCTCAAGATGGGAACGTGCATTACTTGAAACTTTCACACGCTACATCTTTCAGCAGAGAGACCACATGGAAACCCAAAAGGCCGAGCATGGGGAACCTTCTTCCCTCGCAATGGCTATGGCTGCTGGGAAGGTTCCTGAAACTGCAGTAGAGGGGAGGGGACAGTCTTCCAGTGACAGTGTCCCTAGAAGGGACAAGGATCTTGATTGTCCTACCAGTATCTGGGAATTAACAGTGCAGGAAGCACCAGAGGCTATTTAATTAAAAGTTATGATGTACTAGATTGAAAAAAAGCTTTCACAGATCAATACAGCAGAAAGCCTACAGCCCAGAGCCCTAAACAGGAAGCCCTTTGGTGATAAGATCAAGGGAGAAAAAGTCAGCAACTCAGGGGCAGGAGGAGGAGGACCTGTGATTCCCCTGGAGCAAAGAGAGGGGACACCAGGGACCCCTTACCAAACACCAAGGCCTGGGACCTTTGCAGGCAGGTTGTGAGACATTATCGTAGTGGTCTGGCTTCAAAAATTAAATGAGGTCCACTTTTTCCCTACCTCCTACACCTCCCAAAAAAGTTTTACTAACTGATTAAAACACAAAATGTTTCCTTTTTCCCTCAACCTTTCTCTTTCATTTTTTTAGACACTATTTAACAATATTTTAAATAAACATTATAAACCAAAATGTGGTTCACTGAAATTATTCAATTCATATTTTGTAATGGGTACATGCATATCTAGTTGGTTATTACCAGAATAGTGGAATATACAAAACCAAACCAAACCAAACCAAAACTAGATGAATGAACTTGATCTCTGAGCCAGCGTGGTGATGCCACCCTCGCCCCCCCCCCCAAAGCACTGTGAGGCTGTGGCAGCTTTTGTACGCCCTGGGGTCTCCCTGACCCTTGCACATGGTGGGTCCCCTGGGCATTCCAAAGACCGTCCATGAACCGCGGTCCTGAGGAAGGCGACAGAGGTCGCTCCTTTGTTTATGTACAAGCGCCCTTACCCCAGTGGGCTTCACTTGAGAATCACAAATTGAAAGGTGAAATGATTAAGAATTTGAAAATGGTGACAGCAGAGTGTTAATCCGGGAGCAGCATCCACCGAGCACCCAGTCCTGTTGGATCACAGGTCACACCCGTGAAGACAGCTTTGCTCAAGGGCATGCTAGTCAAGACAGCTGCTTCTGAGAGTTCTAGAACTCATTGTTCTCGGGGGCCCACACATGTTTCCGCACATCAGAGCTCAGTAGGGTAATGTTCAGTGAAGGCGGGCGATTGATGTTGGGGCACAGCCTCTTCAGCATTTGCAGGTGGGAAACAGGCCACCGGTTTCCTGTTATGCCTCAATCCCGCTGGTGAGCCGGCAACACTGCCCTCTGCTGGCTCGTTGTGGCAAGTTCAAATTAAAAATAAGGATTAGGTCAGCTCTTCCCAAACTTCAACTTTCCCTTCCCCACTGGGAGCGGGAGGGTTCCTGTCAAGATGCAAACTGAGTCAGACTGTCTGGATGGGGACCCAACTTCTGCATTCCCAGCAAGGCCCCAGGAAATGCTGATGTTACTGGCCATCGTTTTGAGTAACAGGAACAAGCATCTAAGTTTCCTGCCAATCTGACTGTTCCAGGTCTGTCCATGGGGCCTGCTTTTCTCCTCCCCTTCTGGCTCTGCTCTGCTTCTGGAACCAATCTCCTCCTCGTTCAACTTAAATTTTCCTGGGAATGTCCCTCCCAGGGTCCCTTGCTCCCCAGATGACAAGGGCTATGTTGCTCAAGGATCAGCTCGACCCCACTGCACAGGTGACAGACCCAAGGAGGGTTTGCACTGCCAGGGATTCCTGGGCCCTGAAAAGTGACCTTTGCTCCTGGCCCCTAACAGGCAGGCTGCTTGGATTGGGCCCTGGTCTTAAGACCAGGTAAGCACAGATATCAATTAAAACTGAACACTCCGGTCTTTAAGTCCAGCACTTCCAAAAACACATGTGCCTGCTGCCTGGCCATGTGGTCACCACAGCCCATGCCAGGCCTGCTGGAGAGCACTAATGTGGACAGAATCTGTCTGCTGCCGGCTCTGTGTCCCCAACTATCCCTGAAGTTCTTTAGGTAAAGGGGTGGGGTGGTGAAAGATGAAATCTCCCTAAATTCTTCATTGGGGATTTGGGCTTTAAAGGGCTCCTTGAGGCCCTCACTGGTGGCGCAGCGGGTTAAGGCACAGCACTAAGAAGCTAAAGCCACTGCAGTATGAGTTGGATCCCTGCCCCAGAGGTGACCCACATGGTGCGGCAGACCTCTCCTGACCCGCCCACTGCTCCCCTCAGCAGTGTACTTCGTCAGTCTGCCTGTTCTGCTCCCCACTATGTCTTTG